GTTGCATAATATTACATCACAAATAAATCAGGCCCTGTCACCATAAGGTTAAGAATGGATGGTTTTGCAATATCTTCAACATATTAAAAGCATAGAAGAAAAATAATTAATGTTGAAATATAATGATGAACAGCATCAAAAGCTCAAATAACTATTTGTCTATGTCTTCCTTGATACATTTTCCTTTAAATAATTTGGAATCACATTTTTGTGATATTTCTGACATTTTTTTCTTAATGATTGGTGGTTGAGGCTTTGGAAATGTACCAAGAGCTCTATCAAAATTTTATCTTTAATATGAGATTTTGGGGAGGAAGAGTTGCTTAACCCACTTGGGGTAGAGCTAAAAACACTTTTACCATAAAACATGCAAATTAATAATCTATAACTCTACCAGGTTTCATTTAATCATTTCAAATCATTATCATAAAGATTGTCCCCTAACAATAACTCATACTTACAGCTCTGAGGTCTAATTTCTTCTGCCTTCGAGCGATTGTAGAGTAACGAAGAGCTCTATTCACATACTTGATTGCAATTGAGTAGCAATTCTTCTTGCGCCCAAAGTAGTGCTGAAAAGACACGTTTTTTAATACAGTACAACTTTTAAGTATCTTATACTCTCAAGAATAATTATCAAAGATATAAGAATGATTCAATTAAGTATTTACTTGAAGGTCTCTTGACTCACTACAGTTACCTAACATCAGTATGAATAAAGATTCTCTGAAAAGCAGAGATTCCAATCTAAGCTGTTAGATAATATTAGAATATTAATGATAATTCTATAATTCATAATATCATTATCCTTCTGATTATCATAATCAAAAGGTATGTTAGGATGGTACTTAGATTACAAAACATTTTCAAAGTTTTAGCAATAAAATATACCTACAAATAGCTATCAGCAATATATATTTATCCCTTGAGAGCTACTTCAACTATGTATTGCCACTGCAACGAAATCCACATAAATATATCAAAAACCCTTATCAAACTGGTGTGGTTTATTGTTACATGAACAATAGCTAGAAACAAATGGAGTGACCACTAGGAAAAATAAATTTCAAAACAACAATGCCCCAGAGACTGATAAATATCATCAGTATTTATTATATCAATCCAAATCATACAAAAAATACAAAAAAAAAAATCTAAACAAACTCCTAGGTAGACTCACAAGTAAGATTCTTCATAAAGTTAGCATAATTCAAAACCCAGGGAACAGACTGACATGATGTAAAACATTAGCTACATAAACCTCAGAAATATCATATTGAAACAGTTTCGAGCCAGTTGTGGTTTAGTTTTAACCATGTTAATAATAATATTACAACACTCCAAGTTCCTGCCAGAATATATCTAGAGGATGTCTATTGTCCTTTTTTAGAGATGCTGAAGGAATCACAATTGCTGTGCACACTGTATATCAAGTAAATTGTGGAACAATTATTTATAATACATTTTTGTTTACCTATTAGCAGAAACCAACAGCATGTTATTGAGTGAACTGTTGGCTCCACCCATCCAAAAGCCCAGATTTCCCAAAGTATCCCCAAGCCATGAATTTAAAGGTTTGTAACAAATACGGGTAAACTCCCAAATTTAAACACTGGATTAGTTATATTCAAACCAAAATACATGAGAAATTGCAATTCTTGCCTGTAAAAATGAGTCATTAATGATAGATGTACCGTTTTATTATTCATGTATATTATGTGCTTTAAGATATAATCAGCTATTGTCAAAGCATTCTCTCCTTCTGGTAAAGTTAAGCAACAATCACAGATATTCAATGGTATGTTAATTACAAATTTCACTTTTGTTTCCAAACCGATCAGGAAAGAACAAAGCAATTACAGACGATATTCCTTGATCTTAAAATAATTAACTTATTAGAAAGAAAATCAGGCTTCCTTCTACTCACACCTTCTTTGCCTGAATATCACGAATTCCCACGCTCCTGAGGCTGATTTGCAAACTCTAAAACACAAAAATCTATCCAAAAATAAATGCATTTCGTAAGATCTGGCTTAAAAGTCCGCAAGCCCATTATAAATCGAGTGTGACTTTCTCTTTCGAAGTCATTCCTTACAGCTGAGAGCGAAAGAATCCTCCTCCTCTTCCAGAACCTGTCGCCTCCTCTAGCACGAGCGAATAAGGTAGGAGAGGTTATAACCATTTTATCTCTCCTCGTCTGACCCTCGTTTGCCTTCCCTTTCGCTTCGTCGGCAGCGTTCGTGTAACTACGCG